CCAAAAAAGTCGTCGTCTTAGTGGACAAATAACCACGGTGACCTACCTTTTTATTTCTCGAAAACTACGCAGGCGATTTTCAAACAACATTCAAAAAAGATTCGAAACTTCATAACAATGTATTTTCTATAATACTATTGTTTGTGGAAACACCACGTAAATTTACGTGGTGTTTCCACAAAGAAAACTATTATATGTTTTATCGCCATGCAAATGTACAAAGAACTTAATGTATTTTGGGCAATAAAAAAGGTAGGTCACCGTGGGTTGCACTAGAACATTAATATTACATTCGTACTTGCTGTAAAAGATACAAACAAATTAACTACATTTTACAATCTCAAAAATCACTCCTCAAAAGGCAATGTACAAAATATGTAAATTTCTTTAAGAATCTCGCTGAGTAAAATCCTCATAGAATATAATACCTATTTTGGTCAGAATATCAACCGTATTATTCTGAAAATATGCTTAAAACTCCTTTAGTATATGGCATTGTTGTGTTGAAACCCTTGGCAAACTAGGAATCACTGTTACGGAAACATGCCAACTATGTAGCCAAGGCACACATTGTTTGCAAGGGAGGACAGACAGAACACATTCGAAAAAACATTTTCTGATCTTATCGCAACAGTGTTTCCTTTTTCTTCGGAGCTTTAAGCCTCTTTTTCCATTGATCGCATTAACCAACTTATAAACTCGAGTGCATTCATCCAATCACAATCCTCGATCACTTAGATGCAAGCACTCACAGCGGGCTTGTAAGTTTTTGTGACGAGTGGAAAAGAGCCTTTATGAATGAAACAATGCTACTTTGCAACTACATCGCTATAGCACTTTTGTCCTTTAATTAATATATCCTTGTTTTGTTCTCAATCTGTACGGCAATTAGAAGGTCGCAGTATATATAACTGGATGTTGCATCAGGTTGTAAAACACCATCGGTATTACACGAGATAACTGTCCAGGTTACTTTCGTCATTATCCATGTCCACTGGATGTGATCTTCCAGTAGGAACCTCGGGTTCCGGTAACTGTTGCTCAGAATCAGAGAAATGATCATACGAACTATGACGTGAATCATGTCGCTCCAGGTTTCCATAAACATTTATGTACGGTTTACCACTACCTAGGCTGGTACGAGGACTGCAAAACAATCATACTGGTTAGTTAAAGACGTCAAAACTATTATATACATGTTAGTTATGACGTCAAAATATTCATACTGGTTAGTTATGTGGCCCTCACAAAAACTATTAGAAAATTACAATTACAAAGTACAATATAGAATATAGTACTGATATATATATTTACAATGAAGTCAATTAGTATAAAAATGGTTTCTTACAGGTTCAGAAAGTTATTTATTATAACGATATTTTTGAGTTATAGCAGTGTTCTGGGAATTTAACCCAGAGGCCAAGCATACAACAATCTTGTGGAATAAGGTTAAGTTGGGAATGTCTTTCTGTTTGCATTAATTAATGAGAAACATATTACAAAAGGATGTATTACTGAATCAACAGTACACATTATACTCAAGAAAGTCATCTTAGTTTGGCCCCTGACATGGACACTGTTTTTTAAAGTCAAACGAAAAGGAGGGAAACCGAAGCGCCCGGAGAAAAACCCTCCAACTGAAATTGTCCGAATTTTGATCGTTTTAAATTTGAAACATACCGAATGTCCGAAATGGGCACTTAAGTCCGAATGGGCCCCCATCTATTTACAAACTACCCTTGATTAAAATATAAATATACATACCTCCGCAATTCGGAAAAAAAAAACACGTCGGAAGAATCGCCATAATTTTGAAGGCTTAAATGGGAGGAAGCGCGCAACGTCAGTTATGTAAAAAATGTCGGTCTGCTCCCATTTAATCCTTTTAAAGAACAAACATTTTATAAATGTCGTTCTTGCGCGCATGTAACTTCAACAAATTTCATTCTAAAGTTATAACACAATCTATGTTTCTTCAGAATCAAAATAAATTGAAGGTTAAGTGCCATACGAATCTGAAAGCTCTGCGTTTGCGTATTTCAACCGGATCACCATTCAAATTTCCGTCGCTGCTGATCCAGCAGCTTTAAGTTACACCGCTTTACATTGCTTTCTTCCTGATGTTTGCGTGCGCAGTCGACGATTGCTTTAACGGTCTGAATGATCGAAAATCATGCACTAATGTGGTTGTCGGCCGAAATATTAGGACGATATATGGTTGTCGTTTTTCATTGTCTCGTTGCAAGTCCACCTAATTCAGACCGTGCGAACTCCACTCCGGAAAAGATTTTTACAAATGAAAAATCTTTAACCAACAGTGCGCTATGACCCCAGAGACACACTCCATATAGAGAACTCGTATATCGAACGAAAATCCCATTGGGGGCAGAATTAACCCATGGCCAGAAATTTAGGACATACGCCCGCAATATATCTCAGCGGTTTTTCCTATGAAAAGTTATTCATACCTAACAAACGCAAGTTTTAACTAAAAAAATACATTTTGGTTAGTTTTTTGTTTAACTAAAGCAGAAAAATACATATATTAGGTATTGACGGCCTTTTACATACCTTTCATTTATTATGATGGGATATAAAGTGATGCGCATGGTAAACGACTCAAATATTTTGTGTATACATCGCTATCCCTCCGTGTAGCCCACACTGGAAGAAAGCCTGGTTCCTAAGCTTCTTGTTGATATCAAACATGGACGACAATTCATGAAACATCGTTCTTCTTGCAATGTTTTACGGCCTATGGACAGGGTATTTATGGGTAAAATATCAACATTTTGTCCCGTAAATTGGAACAAGTTAAAAAATTCGTATCACTATGAAATTATGCAGACAAGCAGGGGACAACATATACTTTACGACGCGAAGTCTGCAAATTTCATGAAGGGTTCGAGGGATACATGCGGCCAGAGCAAAATGTACGTTTTGAACGATTTTCTCAAGTTTTACTATACTTTATTATACGCCGATGTACTATGAAGTGAACTTGAATAATGGAACAACTTATAGATAAGATTTCGATGCGAAACTTTTCTGTTCTACGGTCCAGATAGGGTTTATATTATTGCGAAGTCTGAAAATGACATAGCTATTATCAAACAAGCTTAAATTGAAAAAACCGCGCCACTCCTAATGATATATATATATATATATATATATATATATATATATATATATATATATATATATATATATATATATATATATATATATATATATATATATATATATATATATATATATATATATATATTTCAATCCGGAGAACTTTAATTAATTATAATATGCCTGGATTACAAATCTTTAAACTTATATATATATATATTTTAAAAACTCATTAATAATTCAGGAGGAAAACAAAAAGAAAAATCATAAGCGTGTCGTATCTTTATATGTGATAAAAAAATCATGTTAATTTACATAAACTTTAGCTTTGATTTTCTCGGTTTAGACAAGGTTTATTTTGAAAATTACTTCGCTAATGTACTCATCAGAAGATGGGTCGTTTTTTAAGCCATTTAAAGCACTTGTAGTCGTGTTTTATCAGATATAAAACGCTCGGCTGCGCCTCGCGTTTTATATCTGATAAAACACTCCTACGCGTGCTTTAAATAGTACATAAATTATATAAATATAAACCTCCCGCCTTTTCGACATTTTTAAAGTGTAGTGATGAGAATCAAGGAATTTATTTTATGTGGCCTAAAGTGTTATATAAAGTTTTTGGCCACTGAGAAAAACCGTATTTAATATCGATATTTTTACGTGTGCAAATATCATTTGTTGTAAAACGCATTGCCACGGACGTTTTATTGTTTTTCACTGAATTTTGTTCATATGAATAAACAGAAAAATACATGGGTGCTTGGAAATACCAGATTTTATTTCTAGTGTTGAACATGATATCTCACTCGTTCGCTGCGCTCACTCGTGAGCTATCATGTTCAACACTCGAAATAAATCTGCTATTTCCGCGCACCATGTATAACACGTTATAATATAGGGTCCAATATTCTATTTAACAGAATTTGAGAGGAAAATGAAAGAAAACACTAAAAAATGCAATGAATACAGTCATGACTGTGGAGAAATTATACATAAATGCAATAATTCGGCATGAAAACAAGAATTCCTTTTCAAACATGATAAAAATTGGTTAAAAACATAAGAATAATTGCAAATGTGGACAATGACAGATTTCATGTTTTAATAGGAAAATCACATCAAATGCATGTTAAAAATGACTGAAAATATATTCAGCAAAAACATACACATTTTGCAACAATTTTACCTTTTCCAAGTTGCAAGAAATGACTAAAATGATACTAAATCTCTAAGAGGAAAAAACTGCTAAAAAATTTGGGCAAAATTTATTGTTTTTAGCAAAGTGAGTAAAATGCATGTGAATAAAAGGGGAAAAAAGAGGAAAATGTTATAGTTCCAAAACATGTCTGGAGGCAGCCACAGTCAGTGAAAATTATATATCAAGAACATGCCACCTTCGATATATCGAAAACTCTAAAATATCCAATGCTTCGATATATCGAAAGAATGCCATTTCTTCGATATATCGAAAGATTGCAATTTCCTCGATATATCGAAAGAATGCCATTTCTTCAATATATCGAAAGAATGCCATTTCTTCAATATATTAAAAGAATGCCATTTCTTCGATATATCGAAAGAATGCCATTTCTTCGATATATCGAAAGAATGCCATTTCTTCGATATATCGAAAGAATGCCATTTCTTCGACATATTGAAAGATTGCAATTTCCTCAATATATCGAAAGATAGCAATTTCCTCGATATATCGAAAACTAAACTATACATGGCTTCTATATATTGAAAGAATGCCATTTTTTCAATATATCAAAAGATTGCCATTTTTTCAATATGTCGAAAACTCTAAACTATTCATGGTTTCGATACATCAAAGAAATGGCATTGTTTCGATATATCGCAGAAATGACATTCTTTCAAATACAATATGTGAAAAACCAAAAGGATGTTATGTTTTGCTAAAGGATGTCATGTCTTGCCAAAACAAGCCATGTTTTAAATATTGATAGTAAAACAACAAAATAGGGCACAATTCAGCTCAATGGGTTAGCAATATGGCATACACTCAAACTAGAATATACATGCATGCAGAAACCCTCGCCTTGTTGACAAAACCATTTTATTTTCCGAACGTGAAGTATTTTAAGTAGTTGTCATGGCAACACGATAATTTTTTAAGAATATTTTTACAAATGAATATTTTTACAAAATCCCCTATAAATATCACTTTTAATTACAAAATTATCAATTTCCTAAACATATATATGTTAGGTATGTTATTATACGTAATATAAGCTTGAATTTAAGGTAAAATTCAACCACAAACGCTTCGCAAAACGTTTTAAAATGTTCTTTTACTATAGAACTAAACTGCCTTTATCGATAAACTTTGAGTAATTCGAAATAAAATGATTCCAAATTCTCCCATGCAAATAACTTTGCTTAGTATGATAAAAAGTGTAATCAATAAAGAAACACTGAAATAATACGCTGTCGGCTGTCTTGTTTCATATTTATACACAACGATCGGCTTTTAAAGTAATTACAGTAGGTATGTTATTATACGTAATATAAGCTTCAATTTAAGGTAAAATTCAACCACAAACGCTTCGCAAAACGTTTGAAAGTGTTCTTTTAATATAGAACTAAACTGCCTTTATCGATAAACTTTGAGTTCGAAATAAAATTATTCCAAATTCTCCCATGTAAATAACTTTGCTTAGTATAATAAAAAGTGTAATCAATAAAGAAACACTGAAATAATACGCTGTCTTGTTTCATATTTTATATACGCAACGATCGACTTTTAAAGTAATTACAGCCGAGATTACAGTATATTAAAAGCAAACAATGCATCAATATTTAAAACAAACTTACCTTCGTTAACGTCGGCACCTTTACTTCCTTCTTTTAGCAATCCTCTTGCCTTTATTTCATCAAAATCCTTTGCAATTTACAAAATCTTGCAAAAATGAAATATATTTGCAAGAAATCATCAAATCAATTTCGCTGTCGTCAATCGTCATGCAGCCGTTAATAATGCCAATTTTAAATTGGACCAATCAGTGTTGGCTATTCATTACAGTCCGCTATATTATGAGATCAGTGAGGATGACCACCCACCGAAACACGCACAGTGACCCACGCCCGCGATATTTGATGAACTTTAGACTTCGCTAATGCTTCCCTTCCCTTCCCCGGGTGTAAATAGCCGGGGGGAATTAGTACCCTCGCACGGCGCTTCGCGCCGTCGGCTCGGGGAATATAACACATTCTACGATAGGGTTGCATATTCTATTTAGCTATAATCAAAATAATCACATGTACAGTCAGGGTCGCCAAGAAGGGGGGGGGGGGGCAAATTGCCTTTGGCCCCCATCTTAATAGGGCCCCAACTTGAGAGCAAGAGCCTAAAATTGAGTAGGTTCTATAAAGAGCATTTTTGAAATTGAGGGCTACTTACAGTACCTCCACATGCAGTCTAGCTACTAAGGTTTTGTTGGGTCTAGCTTAAAAATAATGTCATGGGGTGCCCAGGGAAGGTTTGCCTCGGGGTCCCGCAAATTCTCTAGGCGGCCCTGTGTACAGTATAGCTAGCTATATTAATTATACATATACAACAACAACATATGTATATATCTATATTGACTAAAATCACTTCATTAGACAGTACGGTATAGTAACAACTAAATTCAGAGTTTCTTCTGCCCTAATAACTATTGCTTTTGGCAACTTTCCCATGACAATGCATTTGGACCCAGTAACATGCAGACCACTGCAGATAAACCAGTCTCACAGCAGCGATGTAATACATCAAAGAGTTTATCTTCACAAAACATTACAGCGTACTGATTATATACCTTCTTGTATAGCTGTGCTACTGTCAATCTCCTTTATCAAGTGGTCTGAACCCTCTATGGTTAAACCCGGATCTTTTGTGTTTGATCTACTACAGCATGCAAAAGTGATATATCATTTGGTTTACATCAATCTAAAAGAATGGAAAAAACTATAAGAACACACACCATTAAAATGATTACAGTTTTTACTGCCAATCAAAGAACACAAGAGAGTCAGATATATAATGGCATACCGTGAACCTCCAAATATATGCCCTTGGCTTATATTTGTTCGTAAAGATTTTTTGATGGGGGCTTATGTACAGGGCCCGTATATACTTTTATTGTATCTGTAAACTATGTGAGTGTGAACCATTGCCTCAGTCAAAACACGTTCATGACTAGTGGCAGACATGTTGCAAAATATATGAACATTTAAACCTTTCTTGCTTGAATTAATAGACAGATGAGGAAAAGTCTGGTCAACCCATTGAGCGCCAGCACTCTGCCCTCATCGATTATAAAATTATCAAACTGGCGTCAGACAGAGTAAAATAATCTAGAAAAATTTACTAAATATTGAAGAGTAGAAGTGATGATCATTCCTATGTTGTACAGTTAAAACACAGACAAGAAGGAATATGTATTTTAAAAATGTAAACAATATTCTTGGGACCGCTTCAAACGTTCAAACAAATCTACCAACCTGAAATTCGCACTATCTTGACCTCGATCTTGACCATGATCTGGACCTTGGCAGCAAATATTCAACGCTCTTCCCTTCGATTTGATCTTTCGACAGAATCGACTGTTTAGCTTTAATTTTGTTAAATATTTAATATTCATGTTCATTACTCATATCCAAGCACTGTCCTTACAAAGATTTACCATAGTATAGCTATTATAACGCTAATATACGCCGTTGAATGCGATTCGAATTCAAAATTTATAGATATTGTGCGCCAAAGAACGAACAATAACCAACTGTTTATGAAAAGAAACACGACGATGTCCATAAAAGGACATAATCGAAACAGCTCGCTTCGAGTTCGGTAAAAAATAGTACCAACATGCTTTGCGCACCACGACTCTTTCCTTCGCCATATTTCATATTTGCGAATATTCAAATCGTTTGCTTCTTTATCGCCGGAATATTTGAATATTTATTACTTCTCAACGCAGGAATATTTAAATATTAAATCAAGCAAGGTATGTACTACATCAATTGCTATTTATTTCCCCAGAAGAGAGAGTACAATCTCATTATCTCAGGACTATATTGCTATATTGTAACGGAATTTTATTTTGCTGATTTTTATAATACTACTCGTGTATATAAAAATACATGAGAAAAATGTTGTCTTGAGTTAACAATTTCACAGGATTTTGGCCTCTCTGCAATTGATTTATTTCTTACAGAGTCAAAATTTTTTCATCGCTTGACAGCTTTTTGATAGTGTAATATTTTAATATAACAGAATTTGTTTGGACATCTCACTTGATTGAAGTCATTGAACAATATTAAATATCGAATTATGAATGTTAAAGGAGTTTGTACATGGTCTAAGAATAGGCTTTTCACATCCAAACATTGCCAATGGATGAGTGGGGTGAGGGCACTGAGGGGCGATCCCTACATGCAGCTTCAAATATCAATATGTACCTTGGTCATTTTAGCCTCATTCGTATGGCCTGTTCAAATGAGCCATAATAATATTAGCATAGAAAATTACATTTTGTTCATGTAATGAAACACAAACTATTAGACCACTTGGTCAGACCCCAGATTTGTTGAAATGAGAGACTGGGCATTGTAATTTTAATGAAAGCATTGTGAAAATTATCGGTATTCTATCAATAGGCATAGCATCATTAAGAAAAAGCTAAGTGCAACTACTGTAGGCCAGGATATACAAGGCACTGTTATAAATGTGTCTAATTTGACCCATAATCATCATTCATTAATAATATCAATTTTACTTAGGATTATGTTGATGAGCAATCTTTTGCTTTTTCAAATTTAGAGGGCTATATATATAGAAAAAGAACACTGTAAAGTCACCTTGCACTGGACAGAGTAATGTAATAAGTGCAGAGCTCGGCACAACTAATCTACATTACCATTTGCAGTTTAAATGGTAATAAATGTGATATTTTACATTCATCCAGCATTACTGTCTTACATTTTGTGGAGCAATGCAGTACAAAACCTGAATGTGCCCTACTAACCTACTGCCCTTTCATTATATTACTCTATCTAATAGCATATAAGGTTATATTTCATTAAGGGGTGAGTTTTATTTAATAGTTTGTTTGTGAATTTATTTAGATATGTATCATTTTGATATTGAGCATAATAGTTTTCAGCTAAATACATTGTGCTTTATATATTTTCTATTTATGTGTATAATGCTAAGTTGAATAGAATATTATTTTTTGCTAAACTGTGTTGATTTAGGTTATGTTAGATGCCACTATGATGGTTTCGATAAATCAAAACACTGACTTGGTCTTGCTAAATCGAAACATTGACATGGTCTTGATAAATCGAAACATTGACATGGTCTCGATAAATCGAAACATTGACATGGTCTCGATAAATCGAAACATTAACATGGTCTTCGATAAATCGAAACATTGGCATAGTCTCGATAAATCGAAACATTGACATGGTCTCGATAAATCGAAACATTGACATGGTCTTCGATAAATCGAAACATTGGCATTGTCTCGATAAGTCGAAACATTGACTTGGTCTCGATAAATCGAAACAATCACATGGTCTCGATAAATCGAAACATTGGCATGGTCTCGATAAATCGAAACATTGATATAAATTCCATAAATTGATCAGAGACAGAGATGCCTTGCTACTTTTGCATTATTTGATCCTTTTCAGAACAGTCTATAAAATGTATTGTTAATTTTAGGTAAATTTGGTTGTTTAGGCAAGGGAAGAAAATTTGCATTCTTTTTTTTGCACAAAAGGTGTTTTTAAGCACCAATTTTTCTGTGTTTTTCCGTTTTGTACAAATTTGTTTAAAAATACGAAAATTGGCACCATTTTTGACTAAATAGAATATTGGACCCTATAGTAGAACGTGTTGTATTATTCTCTATTTATACCCTCGTCAATCATATTTGTAGGTGAAAATGTCACTCTGTAATTGCAGTAAACTGTTTAATATATCTCATTGTTAAAATTATATCTATTGATGCAAATACAAGTAATACGGCTAATACCTTGCATGTATTCGCCTGCATGCACACCACATATATGGGTGCGTGGACTTAAAACTGAGCGAAACATTATGCGCGGGAAAATTAGCTTGCAAAAGGGAAAATGGCCTGATACTCGGACTAACACTTTTAATTATCGTTATAGTGCGCGACACTAAATCGCGCATATTTAATTAAGATACAATAATGTAATACAAGCCAGTTCACACCATCAAAACAAACTGATGATGATCAAAGATGGGGTATTTATATATAGTCCCAGAAAACCGAGTACTCTGCTCACAAACGGGTATCTTAGCAATTTTCATAAGATAAACTACTACCATTTTTAACACGTTCCTACGGAAAGTTGGTTAATTTATTAAATGTATAATTATCATGACTATATGAGAAGCTGTTTTAGTAGATCCAATTAACAAAATTAAAAGCCGGAATATCGGATTACTTTAATCAAAGCAGCTTTCATTGTGTAGACTCATTTTCGAATTCAAAGTCAAATTATTTATTACAAATATAAATATCAATTGATCTTACCGTACGCCCACATGTCAATGCGTTTTAAGTCTTCTGCCCGAACTTCTTGCATCGTGTGAATTTCTGGAGCCATAAAGGACGGAGTGCCTCTGTCGACATTATTGGTTCTAGTGTTGCCTAATAATTGGGTTTGGATTTCGTCAGACCTGCTTTCGCCAAAGTCAGTTAATTTGCACATAACAGGCTCGATGTTAAAAGACGCCAAAATATCGTCACTGTTTAAGTCTTTGTTACTGTAATGCATGTTAGACACCAAGACATTTGATGTTTTCAGATCTCTGTGGTAAACCTTTGACTCGTGCAGATACTGTAAGCCATAGGCTATATCTAAGGCAATTTTTTGGTATAGGAATGGCGGGAATGCATCAGCGGCGCCATTCTCGTCCAAGTACCCAAGAAAATCCTGCAGGTTGCTGACTTGTTTGTTCCCGTTATCGGAACAAAATAATTTAAAATCAAACGCTACGAACTCCATCATTATCGCCGGCGGTTCGATACATACTTTTTTTGAACTTCGCTACATTCTTGTGGTTGAGGCTTTGAAGAAGCCTTGCTTCCTTGAAAAACCTTTGTTTTTCATCAGACCTCGACGATTGTAGCAATTTCTTAACAACGACTTTTTCTGCTACTGTTTTTTGCTCACTCTTGAAAGAGGCGAGTAACACTGCGCCAAATGTACCTCTTCCAATCTCACTAGTATCAGAGAGATCATTCCAAGACCTTTCGTGAATTCTTGATAGGAGACTTTCGATTTTGAAAAAGAAGGGAGCTTAAACGACATCTTGTGGTGAATGCTCTAACAGCAAAGCATGGATCGGATCGGAACTAACAGCAAAGCATAGATCGGATCGGAACTAACGGCAAAGCATAGATCGGAAGTAATTTAAGCAGGCCTTTCGCTGCCACACGAGCAGGTGTGATATGTCGTTTACATATCACTCTATTTTGGTTGAAATGATCAAAACTGAAACGCAGGCAGTTTGAATACGCCAATCTCGAAGCGCTCTAACCAACTGAGCTATAGAATCCAGTTGTCGAACTCAAACCGCAAGTCCATGTGTATATACTAAGGCGATGCCAATGTAGAGGATTTTGGGCAATTGTTGGAATTTTTCTCAACTGCCCCTGGTTATGGCCGGTTAGGTATAAAAAAATGTATAAAAGTGACATTCGAAATTTCCATCTACAAAACCCATCAGCAATTAATTCTATCGAGCACCTATTATGAGGAAGTTGTCGCTGTTCGCAAAGGATTAAAGGAGGTGCGAAGTGTCAAAATGGACGGGCATTCTATATCATAATAATGATCCCGACGAATAAATAGTTGCAAAACTATACCTGCGCGTGCGATCAACTGTACCCCTAGTGTTGATCGGCAATCACAAGTTAGTCATGATCAGCTACAATTTTGCACTGAGAACTTAACCTTGAAGCAGGGAAGTAAAGTATCAAAAGACCTGATAATATATACGTATGTGTATGTATATCAAATTACTCTGTGATTCCTCACTTATAAAATATAACCCATTATTATATGGATAAGGGTGTTTTACTGGAAACTAAAACACTCGTATTAATCATACGCCACTACATCCGGGACTTGAGTGGCGTATTTTCCGTATGTCACGCTTAGGAGTGACATAACATTTCCCGCGTTTTTCGCTGGTTTACAAATGGCTAGTTCAAGGTTTGTGGATTTAAGCGAGGACGATATTATTAAGTTTTGTGACGAACAAGAAAACGAAAACACAACAAAAAAGACGACAGACGATATAGCTATTTTCAAGGAATTCCTTGCAATTTACAACAGTTCTGAGGACAGAGAGATACAGAACATTCCCCCGAAAGAACTTCAACCGATTATAAAGAATTTCATTTGTCTGTACGAAAGCAAAACGGCAAAGAGTACGAGCCGTCGTCTCTCAGAGCAATTGTCCAAAGTATTGACCGTTACCTGAGAAAAAAGAACTACGGGTTCTCTGTTTTGAACGGCAAAGTATTTACGATGTCCAAGACACACTTAAAAAGAAACAAAAACAGTTAAAATCTCTCGGCCAAGGGAATCGTCCAAACGCTGCTGACCCGCTGTCAGATGAAGACATCAACAACTTTTATGATCGTAAGGTCTTGGGAACAAACTCACCAAGAGCCCTGCTAAATACTGTATGGTTAAATAATTGCATTCACTTTGGTATGAGACCAGGCAAAGAGCAAAGAGATCTTCGTTGGGGTGATTTGGAGTTGAAACGAGATTCAGAAGGAACTCGCTTTGTCGAGCTCTGTCGAGAAAGACAAACCAAAACACGCACTGGCGAAAACCTACGAAACCTTAGAGCAAAAAAGCCTCAAATGTACGAAAACAAGAGTAATCCAGATCGTTGTCCCGTCAACAGTTACTTGGCCTATCGTGCTCATAGACCAGCTGAAATGATGGCAGACGAGTCTCCGTTCTACTTGACTGTAAACATTGAAGTTCCGAAATATGAACAACAATGGTACAAATGTTCTCCGCTTGGTGTAAATTCACTGCGAAATATGTTGAAGAGAATGGTCAACGATTCCGGCTTGGAAACTGACAAGAAGCTGGTAAATCACAGTACAAGAAAGCACTTGGCTCAAAAGCTTGTTGATAACGACATCCCACCAACTGAAATCATGCAAATAACTGGACATAAAAACGTTGCCTCGATTAATAATTACTCGACTTTGTCAGACAAGAAACAACAGCAAATCTCTGGCGTATTATCAGGTGCGACGGCCATCCAAACTGCTAGTAACTCAGTTAAAAGTCATTCTGTTTCGATCGACGAGACCATCAGCACATCAACTTGTTATTTACCGGGTTCGAGACTGGGTTTGCCTGCTAATATGCCAACAGGAAGCCTTTTTCAAAATTGCCAAATTGGAACTGTCAATGTTTATCCAAGTGGCGTACCGGCCGAACAACAACTTCCACAGCTTTGTAGTCAAAAACAAAAACGAAGAAGAATCGTAACATTAGATTCTTCAGAATCAAGCCAGAGCCAATAAAGTACACTATACTATGAAACTTTTTAAAACTTTTTCTGTTGTAGCACAGGTTGTTGTGTTTAATCTAAATTTAACTATATAGGCTAATTTTAAAGCCATTGTTGTGTTTTACTTTTAGACTATTTTAAATTATTAAAAGATTAGTTGTTGTGTATTTGTGTCACTATAAATAAGTCCATATAATAAACAGAACATTACACGGTTGCGAAAAGATATGGATTTTATGTTCTCGTGGCAAGAACGATATCTCACTCGTTCGCTGCGCTCACTCGTGAGATATCGTTCTTGCCACTCGAACATAAAATCCATATCTCTGCGCAACCGTGTAATATCCTCTATGTATCATTCGTGATGACAATTAAAACATATGTAGTTGAAACTTGAATATATGAATACGTTTTCTAAATCGCCGTTGTTTTGTATTTTGTAAAGATTCTGAGTGGATTTTTCAGAATCTTCAATACTGTAAGTAAAATACATGGAATTGATTGTGTAATTATAACATCACACTTGCAGATATAGCTTTCTGAATGTAAATATGACATCAATTCTGCCAGCAGAAAACGAGCTTCTTTACATGCAGAACATATAAAGCCATGGCCCATGGCGAGATTTGTTTTTGTAACTAAAAAAAGAAGCGAAATACACTAAACGAGCTCACAAACTAAGACAGAGAAAAGAGAGAGAAAAACACAACCTCGGCATTGATAACTTTCAATATCACGCGAAAATTATTAATTATTGTCGTAATAGATTTTTTGAAGTTTAGTAAATTTCGTGTCCGCATTTCCGCGTTTTCCACCTGACTTGCGTGTCCGCGTGTCCGCGTCCGCATGTCCGCGTTTTCCACTTGACTTGCGTGCCCGCGTGTCCGCATGTCCGCGTGTCCGCGTGTTCGCATGTCCGCGTTTTCCACCTAACCGAATGCGCAGCCTTCTGGAAGCTACAATCCCAGTGCTACCAGAAGCTGAACAGAATTGTTTATCTGCAAAATAGCGACGTCTCTCAAGACCAAATAAGACCGAGGAACTGCGTCTTAAACGCCGCACACGTAATAAAAATGTGCGAGAAAAATGCCAAAAAGAATCTGTAAATGCCAAACATAAAGACGCCTCACGAATTAAATAAAGAGTTAGATTGATAACGAGTCAGGGCCGACAGGGCGCACCATCTCAGTTACGATCGAGGACAGTGTATTATTTTATTGGAAAAAGTGGAAAGACGAAATATCCTTTCGTACAACGATCGACTAGCTGTGTGTAAGTATACATATAGAAATTGTATATATGTAGTTCCTCTGTCGTCTGTCTGAAGCTGGATGACATTAATTTTATACTGTTGTTTATAATATAAATAGCCAGAGAATAATATACTCAGCTTTTGTTTACTAGGCTGTATGTTGAACGTATTATACTGTAACCGTAGCCCTTGTCCATATCGTGCTATATATAATTACCGTACTTTGTCTTTGGCGATTACACTTGTATATATCAACAGAATCAACTCATGTTAAAGCGTAATTAATTAAAGCGAATTTGCGCTGTAACAAGTAAACTTTTTGAGTTATCTCACAATGCTTATAAGCGCCTAAATTCAAGTGTGAAGATGCTAAGAAACGTGTGACATTCTATGTTTACACTGTAAATTAAAAAGGGCTGAAACGACCCCAAAAATGGGACCAAAACGGTGACCGCAAAATAGATCTTTTTGGGGGTCAAAATGGCACCTATAACAATGCGGCCCCTAAGGGGTGATTTGGTCCTTCCAGTGTAAGAGCTGTTTCAGCTTTTAGTAGGAGCTGTTTTGGCAAAAGCAGGGGCTATTTCAACTTTCAATAGGGGCCAATTCAGAAAATTAGGGGGCTATTTTGGCATTTCAAGGAGTTA